TGTTCATCCCAGCACCCAGCGAAATCCAAGACACAAGCTCGCAACATATCTTCCAAAATTTGATTCAATCTTTCAGTCTGTCCGTCCGTCTGAGGATGGAATGCTGTACTAAACCTTAACTGAGTCCCCAATGCTTTTTGGAGGCTTTTCCAGAACTGAGAGGTGAATCTAGTGTCCCGATCAGACACTATAGACACCGGTACACCATGCAAGCGTACTATTTCTCTGATATACAGCTGAGCCCACCGATCCACACGATAAGTGGTTTTGCCTGGGATGAAGTGAGCCATTTTGGTAAGTCTATCAACAACTACCCAGATTACGTTGAAGTTCTGCTTAGTCTTGGGCAAGCCTGAGATAAAATCCATGCAAACTGCTTCCCATTTCCATTGCGGAACCTTTAGGGGTTGTAGCAGTCCTGCTGGACGCTGCCTCGGGGCCTTCACCTGCTGACAGGTCAAGCATCGGCTTACAAATTCTGCTATCTCCTTTTTCATCCCTGGCCACCAATAACATCCCTTAAGATCCTGATACATCTTTGTACTTCCAGGGTGGAACGTATAAGAAGTATCGTGAGCTTCTGTCATAATATCCTTAAGAATTTTCTTGTCACGGGGAACGCATAAGCGATTTTTCCACAGCAGACCCCCATCTGAAGAGATTGAGTACCCCTCTGGTCTTTCAATCTCCGTCTGATTCCACAGCTTTTCAAGGTGTTCGTCAGACCTCTGAGCGTCAATAATCCGTCTTCGTAAGGTAGGTTGCATGGTCATTTGTGTTATCTGAGCAGTACCACCTTTGATTACAACATCGATTCCAGCCCTCTTCATCTCATCCTGTATTCTCTCCTGCTTAGTGATCATAGCGGAAGTATGAACTGCCTTTCTGCTCAATGCGTCCGCCACAACATTGGCCTTGCCTGGATGATACAGGATCTCGATGTCGTAATCTTTTACTAATTCCAACCATCTCCTCTGCCTCATGTTAAGTTCCTTTTGCGTAAATAGGTACTTGAGACTTTTGTGATCGGTGAATACTTGAATTTTCTCTCCATACAGATAATGTCGCCACGTCTTTAGTGCAAACACCACTGCTGCTAACTCGAGGTCATGAGTAGGATAATCCTTTTCATATTCCTTCAGTTGTCTGGAAGCATAAGCTATCACTTTACCCTTCTGCATGAGCACGCATCCAAGACCTTTTCCCGATGCGTCGCTGTACACCACAAGATTTCCTGATCCATCAGGGACTGTGAGGACTGGAGCTGTCACTAACCTCTCCTTGAGTTCCTGGAAGCTCTGCTCACAGGCTGATGTCCACAAAAAAGGCTTGCCTTTCTTAGTTAACTGAGTCAGTGCTGAAGATATCTTGGAGAAATCCTGGACGAACCTTCTGTAGTAACCAGCTAGTCCCAGAAAACTCCGTACCTCAGTGACTGTGGTCGGTCTTGGCCACTTCATCACTGCCTCAATTTTAGCTGGGTCTACTGTGATTCCTCTACTCGACACCACATGACCCAAAAACGCTACCTCAGACAGCCAAAATTCACACTTGGAAAACTTAGCGTACAGTCGCTGTGTTCTTAGTATGGTCAGAACTTTTCTCAAATGCTCTTCGTGCTCTGCCTCTGATTTGGAGTACACCAGGATATCATCAATAAACACTATAACAAAAGTGTCTAAAAATTCTTTAAACACTCTGTTCATTAATTCCATGAAGACGGCTGGTGCATTGGTAAGTCCAAAGGACATGACGAGAAATTCATAATGTCCATAGCGACTTCTAAAAGCTGTTTTGGGAATATCTTCTTCTCTTATTCTCAATTGATGGTATCCTGACCTCAAGTCAATTTTAGAGAATACCGATGCTCCCTGCAGCTGGTCAAACAAGTCGTCGATCCTCGGAAGGGGGTACTTATTCTTTATGGTGACCTTATTCAAATCTCTGTAATCTATACACAGGCGCAGGGATCCATCCTTTTTCTTGACAAACAGGACAGGGGCTCCCCAGGGCGACACACTGGGTCGTATGAAACCCTTATCCAATAGGTCCTGTAACTGTTCCTTCATTTCCCTGAGTTCTGCAGGTGCCATTCTGTAGGGTGCCTTGGAGATCGGCGCAGTTCCTGGTTCTAGGTCGATCCCGAAGTCAACTTCCCTAACAGGGGGCAAACTTGACAAATCCTCAGGAAAAACATCAACAAATTCCCTGACAATGTGCACTGACGAGACTGCCTGTTCAACACTGCTATCTAGGGTCACACTAGCTAAAAATGCACTTGCACCACCGCGGATCATCTTTCTAGCTTTAAGTGCAGTTACGACACTTGGGGTTCTTTTGGAAGTGGCTCCCTTATATGAAAAACTATCCCCTGACGGAAGTCTGAAAGTAACTATTCGAGTTTCACAATTAATAAGAGCACGATTCTCGCCTAGCCAATCCATACCCAAAATGATGTCGTAGTCTTGCATGCTTAAAACTATTAAAGTAGCTTCTAAGACTCGTCCCGACACTGTCACATTACCCCTTTTAACTCTATGCGTAGCCATTAATAACTCGTGAGCAGGGGTGGACACTGATAGAATGGTCTCCAAGGGTTCTTTTTCTAGGTGTGCTAGGTCAACGAATTCCTCGGACACAAATGAGTGTGTAGAACCCGAATCAAATAGTACAAAAGCTAAGTGATCAAAGACTGGTAGCGTACCTGTAACAACCGCGTCAGGTGCATCGGCCTGCCTGCCTGTAGTTGCATGGGCTACAGCTCGCCCCTGCTGCTGTTGGGCACCCCGACCCCTTTGATTCTTTGCTACAGGTCGATTAGTGACATCGTCTCTCTGTTGAGGGCAATTTGCTGCATAGTGTCCCATCTGGCCACAATTATAGCATACATTAGTCCCCAGGCGACATTCTCCCTGGTGAGTACGCTGACACTTAAGACATTGATTCCTGTTCTGTGCCGGGGTTCTTCCGCGATTGGCAGTGCCACCGCGGGGTGGTCTGTTAGTCCTGGGATGATTTCGATTTATCTGTTTTCCCTGGACTGCGATCTGGGAGTTTTGGGTTGACCCTGCTTGTAATCTGTCAGTGCGAGGTGCATCTATGAGGGTAGCCATCTTAAGAGCTGCTGTATAGTCTGAGGATGCCTGTGATGCCACATAACCTCTAATGTTCTCCCTTAGGCCGGCGATAAAACGTTCAGCCTTAAGCTCTTCAGTACTGACATATATAGGAGAGAATCTAGACAATCTATTAAACTCCTGATCATAATCCTCCACAGATAGGTCACCCTGTTTGAGTTCATGAAATGCTGCTTGCAGCTTCATTCTAGCAGCGACTGGATAATATTTGCGGAGGTAAGCCTCTTTGAACTGAGGCCAAGAGATAGGCTCTCCAAGAGGTGCAATCAACTTCTTAGCACCCTTCCACCACAAATGAGCCTCTCCTTCCAACATATACGTTCCGCAGTGAACCTGATATTCCAGCGGACAGTTCATGTAAAAGAAGGCTTTTTCCATGGCCTCAAGCCAATTTTCTGCTGCAATAGGATCTATTTTGCCACCTTCGAAGGAAGGCGGTTTCTGCCTCTGAAAATCCTTAAGATAACGAGCCTCTATGGTCATAGTTCCAGAGTCTCTGTTTCCCAGCAATGCTGTCTGTTGTATTGCTACCTGTTGCGTAGCTGCCTGTTGCATCGCTGTCTGTTGTAATGTTGTCTGTTGCAGCGTTGCCTGTTGAATGGCCTGTTGCATCATGGCCTGGTTAGTGACCAGTGTTTGCATCATCTGAGCCATTTGAGCTTGGTTTTCCATAGAGGTTAACATAAAAGACTGTACTACATCTGTAGTGAGGATAGTTGTTGGTTGTCTAGGTGGAACCTCCACGTTTCGGTGGGCACTGATGGGACCGCTTCAGGAGAAGGAGCAGTAGAGTCTGCGTCCGGTAAATCTTGAGTCACTGCTCTCCACTGACTCATTCCTGACCTTGGTGCCCGTGGTATAGGACATTCAAACCATTCAGGCATTTCTTCAACCTCCTCTTGAGGTTCAGGTACAGGTTGTTCCGCCTCAGGAGACGGGACATCAGTGTTCTGA